CAGAGATTTGTTGTAAACATTGCATAAACAGGAACAAAATATCAAAAACAGGAACCTTCAGGCAGACATACATTGTTTATAGCTTCAGAATCTCTAATAAAGAACTATACAACCCATGACTAATCACAAGGCTGGAAGAGTCATCTGATTTATTTATTTTTCATTACTGTTGATGCTTAAAGCAGTATTCAAGCCAAACGCAAAAATGTATTCTAACTGTTGGCGCTATATAAATCCTGTATAATAATTATAATAATAATACTGATTCTTAGAAGTGACGGCTGCATTTGTTTTCAGTTTTGGGATTTATTTCCTTTATTTGTAGCTGGTGATTTGTCCAGTAAGTCTGTTGTTTTTCAAAAAAACAAGTTGTCCTGCATTTGTATCAGTTTCAGGGTTAAGACAAACTGTTTAACACCAAACGAGATTGTAAGCTCCAAGGATCAGGCCCTCCTAACCCTCTTGTATTGAACTGTATCATTGCTGTATTGTCTCCCGTTATATTGTAAAGCGCTGAGCAAACTGCTGGCGCTATATAAATCCTGTATAATAATAACAGGGGTGCTTACAATGATCAGCTTTTATTTATGTAAAACCTTTATCCCCAAAAGAACAAAATGTTTGCTGTAACTGACTATAAAGTGAAAGCTGGAATTTGGCTTCGATTTTCTAGTTTTTCTACAGTATATCTGCTAGTACATCTATCCCCCCCCCGACAATTGTGCTGCCCAAAGGTGCCCCCTGTGCTTCTTCATCCAGAATGGGGACGCTCTAATACTGGAGGTGTATTACTGGCAAGATCACAGGGAGGAAAACTTAATTAAAAAAAAAAAAAAAGGAAAACTAATGCAGTAAGGTTCAATACCACTTTAACTTTAACATTTATAAGTAATAAACATAGTACACGTATGTAGTTTCTCTTGGCCAAGCATTGTGGCTATATGATTGTCACACATTCTCAATACTAAATAAAGATATATATTTAACCACTTCAATCCACTATAACCCTTCCTGCCCAGGTCATTTTTCAGCTTTCAGTACAGTCACACTTTGACAGCTGCACGGTCATGCAACACTGTACCCATAGGAAATTTTTATCATTTGTTTTGTGACAGATGGAGCTTTTTTTCGTTCGTATTTAATCACCACTGGGTTCTTCCATTTTTTTTCTAAACAAACAAAAAAAGGCCAGCTTCCTTTATAAAATTTTGCAAATAAGTAATTTTTCTTCACTGATGATGGGCGCTTGTGAGGCTGCACTGATGGGCGCTTGCGAGGCTGCACTGATGGGCGCAGGTGAGACTGCACTGATGGGCGCAGGTGAGGCTGCACTGATGGGCGCTGGTGAGGCTGCACTGATGGGCGCTGGTGAGGCTGCACTGATGGGCGCTGGTGAGGCTGCACTGATGGGCGCTGGTGAGGCTGCACTGATGGGCGCTGGTGAGCTGCACTGATGGGCGCTGGTGATGCACTGATGAGGTGGCACTTATGGGCACTGATTATCAGTGTAAACAAAACACTGTCAGGATTGTTGGTTATCAGCTTTCCTTACCTCATGCAGGGACAGCACTGAGGAAAGGAAAAGCCGTTAACTGGCAATCTGTTTACTTGTGATCAGCTGTGATTGGACACTGCTGATCATATGGTAAAAGGGCAGCTGTGATTGGCCCTTTACCGCAATCTGTGATCAGCTGTGTCCAAATGCGCACCCCAGATGCATTCTGGGAGGACGCTCTCTCAGAATGAGAGAACCGCGCTGTGGCCCTTATTAGGCTCTAGGGTGGTAATGAAGTGGTTAAAAAAATGAAATTGTCCGTCCCTTCTTCCTTCACCCAGTGAATGCTCATTGCACAAAACGTTCTGTTGAAATTATTTACGTTCGCAGCTGCAAGGGATATAAATCCACTTTGTGTGCACCAATGTAACCTGGATATTACCTTGTAAAAGTAGTGGTGACATTGGGCAGAACATTCAGAGTACAGGATTGTGGAAGGGCTCAGTAGGCTCCACCCACTTCAGAAAAGTAAAGGAAGGGGTGGAGACAAGACCAGTCCCCCTGCACAAGGAGAGAGAGCAGCAGTGAAGATCCACACTGGATTAGGGTGCAGAGGCATGTTTTCCTTGCAGAGACGTGACTGATTCAGGGCCACTTTTACCTTTCCTTCCAGTGACACCACCGACAGGGGACAGTTTTTTTTCGCCCTCAGTGACATTTACTACACGGGCATTTTTTCCTTCCAGTGACCTCGCTGACATGGGCATAATTTTCCTTCCAGTGTTGCCACTGATGCAGAGGCATGTTTTCCATCCAGTGACACAACTGACGCAGCAGTAGTTTTTTCTTTCCTTCCAGTGACACCAAAGACTCGGGGGCAGTTTTTTGCCCTCAGTGACACTACTACACAGGCATTATTTTTCTTCCAGTGACACCACTGACATGGGCATAATTTTCCTTCCAGTGTTGCAGTGAGGCATGTTTTCCTTTCATTGATACCACTTACACAGGGACATGTTTTCCTTTCAGTGACACCACCAAGACAGGGCATTTTTCCCATCCAGTGACACCACCAAGACAAGACAGTGTTTTCTTGCAATGAAACCAACAAGACAGGGAAATGTATTCCCTCCACTGACACCACCAACACAAGGGCATTATTTTCTTTCTCTGACACCAACACAGCTGCATTTTTTTCCCCATGACATTGACTAAAAGCCTTTTTTCTTGAAGTATATCTATTGACGCAGGATGGAGCGGGTGAGGGGCTCACAGGGTTGTATCACTGAAAGAGAGTCGAGCAGAGCGGACTTTGCTGCTGTTTGTAGATGGGTGTTGGGGGGTGGAAAATATTTTGGGTTTATGACACCGCCTTGCTGCGCTGTAAGGACAGAGTTGGAATCTCCCTTTTTAAAATCCTGAGTTTTCCCCGTCTTTGGAAAATATTTGTCACTAACATCATTCCTCACGTTCGTTTCCTAATGGATTGCTTATTCACACGCAGCATCATGATGCTGATATCAGTAGAAAGGGACCGGCTGTAGAACACCCCTCCCCCCCCCCCCCCCCAGTGTGTAAACTGCTGACAACGCCGACTGGAGCAGCTTGATCTGAGGAAGTGACCTGGTGTCATGAAATGAAATCAGCAGTTTATTGAAGGTTTTTATTTTAATGTTCTACTTGACCTTGCTCCGGCCTGGCTCCATATTCCTCCACTGAATTCTGAGTAGGTGATGAAAGGATAAGTGCCTCCTTCCTCTAACCCAACCCCCCTCCACAGATGCATACTTACCTCAAGTAAGCGGAGAGAATAGGTGTAGGAATTCGCTATCCCCACAAGCAACCCCAAATTGCAAACAGCTGCTAGGCCGCTGAGTTCAGGAGCGCGATGCGCGCAGACCGTCGGGGTCAGGGGCGCGATGCGCGCAGACCGCCGTGTTCAGGGGCGCGGTGCGCGCAGACTGCCGTGTTCAGGGGCGCGGTGCGCGCAGACTGCCGTGTTCAGGGCGCGCAGACTGTCGGGGCCAGGGGGGGCGCTGCGCGCAGACTGTCGGGGCCAGGGGGGCGCTGCGCGCAGACTGTGGGGGCCAGGGGGGCGCTGCGCGCAGACTGTGGGGGCCGGGGGGGGGCGCTGCGCGCAGACTGTCGGGGCCAGGGGGGCGCTGCGCGCAGACTGTCGGGGCCAAGTACAGGGACAGAGGTGGAGGTATCAGAACTCCGTTCTGGCTGAAAAGAAGCCCTGCAAGTATGCTATGTTCATTTACATCCTGGCTGCGCTTGTGTATTGGTGCCCCATTAATCTCCTGAGGCCGGAAACAATCCCATAAAAGTCTGAGCTGTGTGGCCAGGACATTGAAGACTTTTGGTGCTGGAAGTAAACAAACAGAAGAACCATGGCCATCAGATCAAGGTAAGTATGCATTTGTGGAGGAGGAGGGTTGGTATGGTTGGGTAAGGGGAAGGGGTAACAAAGGATAAATGTACTATATTTTAAAGTTCAATTGTCCTTTAATCACCTGTTCAGAATAATTAAAGTGTTACTAAACCCACAACCGTAAAATCAGTCTGTATAAGCAGTACAGCATGCTTGTTATATTCACTGTGAAACCTAAGGGGTTAATCCTCTGCATTGTGTAAAAAGGCTGTTTGATCCTGTCTTCTCTGATCCTCCCCTTCTTCCAATGTCCCCCTCTTATCTCCTGATTAGACATATTGTGTGGAGTCACTCTGCACATGCTCAGTTTGGTGTGTATTGCTAGAGAGGTTTTTTTGTTTCTTTGGCCCTGTGCTAATCACGTGCACTTTCCCATCAGCACTGTCCAGACAGAAGTCTGGGGTTCTGCATCCTCCTAGAGCAGAATGAAAACTCCTCCTGCATATATAGATATAGTGAATGCAGGGTCCGGGGAGACCAGATATAGTGAATGCAGGGTCCTGGGAGACCAGATATAGTGAATGCAGGGTCCTGGGAGACCAGATATAGTGAATGCAGGGTCCTGGGAGACCAGATATAGTGAATGCAGGGTCCTGGGAGACCGGATATAGTGAATGCAGGGTCCTGGGAGACCGGATATAGTGAATGCAGGGTCCTGGGAGACCGGATATAGTGAATGCAGGGTCCGGGGAGACCAGATATAGTGAATGCAGGGTCCTGGGAGACCAGATATAGTGAATGCAGGGTCCGGGGAGACCAGATATAGTGAATGCAGGGTCCGGGGAGACCAGATATAGTGAATGCAGGGTCCGGGGAGACCAGATATAGTGAATGCAGGGTCCGGGGAGACCAGATATAGTGAATGCAGGGTCCGGGGAGACCAGATATAGTGAATGCAGAGTCCTGGGAGACCAGATATAGTGAATGCAGGGTCCTGGGAGACCAGATATAGTGAATGCAGGGTCCTGGGAGACCGGATATAGTGAATGCAGGGTCCTGGGAGACTGGATATAGTGAATGCAGGGTCCTGGGAGACCGGATATAGTGAATGCAGGGTCCGGGGAGACCAGATATAGTGAATGCAGGGTCCTGGGAGACCGGATATAGTGAATGCAGGGTCCTGGGAGACCGGATATAGTGAATGCAGGGTCCTGGGAGACCGGATATAGTGAATGCAGGGTCCTGGGAGACCGGATATAGTGAATGCAGGGTCCTGGGAGACCGGATATAGTGAATGCAGGGTCCTGGGAGACCGGATATAGTGAATGCAGGGTCCTGGGAGACCGGATATAGTGAATGCAGGGTCCTGGGAGACCGGATATAGTGAATGCAGGGTCCTGGGAGACCGGATATAGTGAATGCAGGGTCCTGGGAGACCGGATATAGTGAATGCAGGGTCCTGGGAGACCGGATATAGTGAATGCAGGGTCCTGGGAGACCGGATATAGTGAATGCAGGGTCCTGGGAGACTGGATATAGTGAATGCCGGGTCCTGGGAGACTGGATATAGTGAATGCCGGGTCCTGGGAGACTGGATATAGTGAATGCAGGGTCCTGGGAGACCAGATATAGTGAATGCAGGGTCCGGGGTTTAGTAACACTTTAAAATCGGAGCAGTGTGGAGCCAGGTCTACACAGCAGAACTGCGGCCATCGGACAAGATAATGATGCATCTGTGGAGGGGAGGGCACGTTGGGTTAAGTTGGGGAAAGGAACAAAAATGATAAGTGCAATTTGTTTTAAAGATCACTTCTCCTTTAGGCTTCATTCATTTGGGCACTGAGGCCCATACAGCATGAATGAGTCATTTATGTGGCTGAAGTCCTCTGGAGCTGCATGCAGGCACTTATATTAATATAATATATGAATGGGGACGCAGACACAGCCGCATATCCTAAGCTGACAGGCATGCAGGGGTGGGTGTGCACCCTCAAATGCACGCTGTTTGCACAGTTTGCATGTAGAGAGGGTTTTTTTGTTTTGTTTTATTTGAGGAGTATATTTAGGGTGTTTCAGTTTATTAAAATTAGGATTCTTTTCTTAGTTTTTTTCTTTTTGTGCTATGTAGCCATGTAAAGCTTTGTTTTGGTAAAAGCCATATTAAAGTGAAGCTCCGCCTATGGACACTTTCCAATTACCAATTAATTTTTTTAAAAAAAAGCATGCAATGGGGTTGATTTACAAAAACTGCAGCGGCTGATTGGCTAGCATGCACAGTTGTACCAGATTTTGCACTCTTCAGTTTTAGTAAATCAATCCCGATGTGTAAGATCCTATTCACGTCTGGGCATACTAGAATTGCGAGATTCTGCTGGCGATTTAGAAACGCGGTAAAATTGTGACAAAAGAGGCATTGTGTGTTCGGCTGGCGTTCTAGTTAATGGCACCTCAAATGCGCAAAAGAAACTGGCATTTTGTCACATGACGAAATGTGCACAAAATGCTGAAAATGATGCATGCCAAAAAAAAGGAACAGGAACCACTTTGGTGCATTTTATGGAGCAGAGAGCAGCCAAATGAATGGTGCTACTCGGGGCTTTTTTTTCAGCCAGAACTTGGTGGAAGTTTTGCCACCTCTGGCTCAGGCCCTCTGCTCACCACTATCACCTGTAAGCACAGAAGTCCGGCTTCTGTGTTTCCAAATGACAGCATGTCTCCCAACAGCTCCCACAGATTTGATCCCCTGAGTGGCTCCCACTGAGTGCAGGATGGGGACAAGGGAGATGCAGGTGCCCGGGATGCAGTGTGGATGCTGGCACCCCCACTGGATGATCTCCCTGCAAGTGAGAAAGGTGGAGCCACCTACAGTGTGCGGGGAGGTACTAGAGCCAACTGGGTGCTTCAGCTTTCATACAGCAACAAAAGTAAGACATGAAAGATGGTGAAGTTTTCAGGAGGGGGAGAAGGGGGCAGTGGAGGGGGGGGGGGGTTCATTCAGAGGTCTGAGTTGAAGAGGGAAGAAAGTGATATGTGGATGGGGGGATGCAGAGGTTAGCAGCTGTGGAAAAAGGCTGAACTCTGCACACTGCGTGCGGTGCACCCCTGAACTCTGCACACTGCGTGCGGCGCACCCCTGACTCTGCACACTGCGTGCGGCGCACCCCTGAACTCTGCACACTGCGTGCGGCGCACCCCTGAACTCTGCACACTGCGTGCGGCGCACCCCTGAACTCTGCACACTGCGTGCGGCGCACCCCTGAACTCTGCACACTGCGTGCGGCGCACCCCTGAACTCTGCACACTGCGTGCGGCGCACCCCTAAGTGGACACAATGATGTGCCTGTCGCCATTTTGGTTCCCGTCATGAGGGAATTGACCGTTGAAGTTTCTACAAGCAACACAGAATATTCGCTGCTTTTCTCCATATGATTGATATTAGTGTGATCGCTGTTATTGCGGTTTTCCTTATAATTGTAGTAAAGGTTCTCTTTTGAACTGCTACCATTTAGAATGTTTTATTTTATTCATCTACCAGAATTTGTGCCAAACTGTTGCTTAGCAAATCCATTTTTTTGGGTCAGCGAGTCTCTGGAGTTTAGTAACCTGCAGTAATCGAGCATTATGAATTCACATATTAATTCCAAGTGCTGTGGATGGAAATTTTACTCTTCAAAACTTCAAAATTGGTAATTTGTGTGATGGATGAAAGTATGGAGGTTCCCCGCACTGACTTGTTTATAAAGGAGCCGGCTCCCTGCACTGACTTGTTTATAAAGGAGCCGGCTCCCATCACTGACTTGTTTATAGAGGAGCAGGCTCCCTGCACTGACTTGTTTATAAAGGAGCCGGCTCCCATCACTGACTTGTTTATAAAGGAGCCGGCTCCCATCACTGACTTGTTTATAGAGGAGCAGGCTCCCTGCACTGACTTGTTTATAAAGGAGCCGGCTCCCATCACTGACTTGTTTATAGAGGAGCAGGCTCCCTGCACTGACTTGTTTATAAAGGAGCCGGCTCCCCGCACTGACTTGTTTATAAAGGAGCCGGCTCCCATCACTGACTTGTTTATAGAGGAGCAGGCTCCCTGCACTGACTTGTTTATAAAGGAGCCGGCTCCCCGCACTGACTTGTTTATAGAGGAGCCGGCTCTCCGCACTGACTTGTTTATAGAGGAGCCGGCTGCCCGCACTGACTTGTTTATAGAGGAGCCGGCTCCCATCACTGACTTGTTTATAGAGGAGCCGGCTCCTCGCACTGACTTGTTTATAAAGGAGCCGGCTCCCCGCACTGACTTGTTTATAAAGGAGCCGGCTCCCCGCACTGACTTGTTTATAAAGGAGCCGGCTCCCCGCACTGACTTGTTTATAGAGGAGCCGGCTGTCCGCACTGACTTGTTTATAGAGGAGCCGGCTGCCCGCACTGACTTGTTTATAGAGGAGCCGGCTCCCCGCACTGACTTGTTTATAAAGGAGCCGGCTCCCCGCACTGACTTGTTTATAGAGGAGCCGGCTGTCCGCACTGACTTGTTTATAAAGGAGCCGGCTCCCCGCACTGACTTGTTTATAAAGGAGCCGGCTCCCCGCACTGACTTGTTTATAGAGGAGCCGGCTCCCCGCACTGACTTGTTTTGTTTATAGAGGAGCCGGCTCCCCGCACTGACTTGTTTATAGAGGAGCCGGCTCCCCGCACTGACTTGTTTATAGAGGAGCCGGCTCCCCGCACTGACCCGCACTGACTTGTTTTATAGAGGAGCCGGCTCCCCGCACTGACTTGTTTATAGAGGAGCCGGCTCCCCGCACTGACTTGTTTTGTTTGACTTGTTTATAAGGAGCAGACTTGAGGAGCCGGCTCCCCGCTTGTTTATAGAGGAGCCGGCTCCCCCGCACTGACTTGTTTATAGAGGAGCCGGCTCCCCGCACTGACTTGTTTATAGAGGAGCCGGCTCCCATCACTGACTTGTTTATAGAGGAGCCGGCTCCCCGCACTGACTTGTTTATAGAGGAGCCGGCTCCCCGCACTGACTTGTTTATAGAGGAGCCGGCTCCCCGCACTGACTTGTTTATAGAGGAGCCGGCTCCCCGCACTGACTTGTTTATAGAGGAGCCGGCTCCCCGCACTGACTTGTTTATAGAGGAGCCGGCTCCCCGCACTGACTTGTTTATAGAGGAGCCGGCTCCCCGCACTGACTTGTTTATAGAGGAGCCGGCTCCCATCACCTTGTTTATAGCACTCCCCGACTGACTTGTTTATAGAGGAGCCGGCTCCCATCACTGACTTGTTTATAGAGGAGCCGGCTCCCCGCACTGACTTGTTTACAGAGGAGCCGGCTCCCCGCACTGACTTGTTTACATAGGAGCCGGCTCCCAACACTGACTTGTTTACAGAGGAGCCGGCTCTCCGCACTGACTTGTTTATAGAGGAGCCGGCTCCCCGCACTGACTGACTTGTTTATAGAGGAGCCGGCTCCCAACACTGACTTGTTTACAGAGGAGCCGGCTCCCCGCACTGACTTGTTTACAGTCTCCATGCACACTATCATATTTTTTAAGTATTTTATTTTTTATTTTATTTCAGGAACTTATATAGCGCCATCAATTTATGCAGCGCTTTACATATATATTGTACATTCACATCAGTCCCTAACCCTCAAGTATCAAAAACCGCTGATAATAGCATTTTTTTGGTAGCGTTTAGGAGCGTTAGCACTTTATTAGTGTTTTTATAGTACATGTAGAGAGAATAAAAAAAGCTGTTAGTAGTGTTTAGGAGCATTTAGCGTTTTTTTCTGCTGGAAAAAACGCTCCAAAAACTCTACCAAGACCATTTTTTTTTCTGCTCCTAGAAGCTGAATCTCAAAAAATGCTAACAGCCTACAGTAGTGTGCATGGACACATAGGATAACTAGCTTTTAGGAGCGGAAAAAAAAATGCTTTTGACAGCTTCTAGGAGCTTAGAAAACTGCAAGTGTGCATGGAGCTTTAAGGAGGAGGTTTCCCACACTGATTTGTTTATAAAGGTGTTCAAAAACATTTTGCAGCTTCGAAATATGGTGCTTAATTAAACAGCCAGGGGGTGTTAAATGAAGAGAAATCTCTCTCCTGTGATGCTGGGGACAAACGTTTAGAGCATCCTAGCAACAGGACAGGAGTGGCGGTCCTACAGCTATCAGTAGATGTTTTTCAGCTGGGCTTTAGGGGGGCACAAATGGCCTACAGGTATGGGTATTTATCTAAACACAGTATTTCAAAGCTGCACAGGGTCTTTGAACACGCTGGGGCCTCAGTGGATTAACCATTTCAAACTGAAGCTGTCTCCTGCAGCACTCCTTTTCACCAGTAGATGTCCCCACCCTTACGTGCTCAGGGAAGGTCAGCATCATTCAACCCACTTTGTATACAGAGTATTACTGCACTGTGTGATGCATTCACATTGAATTACGTTCGTACTGGTCAGTTTGACAGTAATGGTTCACCCCCTTCTGGTGTTGGGGGGGGCCCTGAGGGAGGGTGGAAATGCTATTTGCGTGGCATTTATGCTGATCTCTTGGCTTCATTTCTTTCAGACTCAATAACCAGGTACAAGCATGCGTATTAGGATAGGGATTTCTGATGTCACACTTCTTATCTGGGTTAGTGACTTCAA